ATTCCTCTGTTTTTACAGGATAAGGAGCAAAGCCACAAGAGTGTAGTTTCAGCAGACTGTCACCAAACTCATTTTGGTCATGAAATAGAACCACATGACATGGCTGAGTAGTTTAGTGAAAGCTGGGTTCTCAGACCACCCAGGTCACTATTATGGATCACTTTACAGTCTTAGTCATGCTGTGGATGAGAAAACTGACTGAATTTTTGTTTTCAATTTCAGGAAGCCAGGAAACTGTAAAATCAGGAGAAACTAAATGTCATTTCCAGTTCAGTCCTCTTCAGAGCCAGTATTCCCATGGACGGAGTTTAGGGGAAAGGGAAGATGTTTCCTTCCTGCCTGACCAGAGCATTACCCTCATGAATCCAAAGACACACGACACACAGGCTCTAGCTACAGTGGTCCACAGCTCCATCAAGTCTGCTTATAGAGAAGAAATCCCAAGTCACAGAGCTGTGGGTCACCCTGGCTTGAAGGAAGGCCCCTCCTGGCAAAGCACCCAGCACTCTTGCCCTGTCTGTGGAGAAGGGTTTTGGAAAAAGAACCACTTGGTGAAGCACCAGAGGAGCCATTCCAAGGATGCATCATGTAGGGCCTGGAAGAAGTTCAACCAACAAGCTGATGCGCAGGAGCAGTGGGATATCTCCAGGACACAGAGGCACTTCCGATGTCCTGAGTGTGGGAAGAGCTTCCATCTGAAGCAGTACTTGCTGAGACATATGGCTGTCCATACAAAGAAGAGCCCATTCCAGTGCCCTGAATGCAAAATGTGCTTCTGCCAGGAACAGACCCTTCTCTGCCACCATCTCGGGCACAAGGGGGAGAAGCCTTCCCCGTACCACAGATGCAACAAGAGCGGCTTCTCCACGGACAGTGCACACGCTCCCCAGTGCCAGCACAGAGGGGAGAGGCCAGCCTCCTGGAGAAGTGGCATTGGTGTGCACTCAGGGCAAGAGCCAGGACTCGGCCTGGACTGTGAGGAGCACTGCCCGTGCGGGGACGCAGAGGCTCTGCAGTGGGGCCACAGCCACAGTGGGGAGAGGCCCTTCCCCTGCCTGGAATGTGGCAGGCGCTTCCTCTCAAGGTCCAAGCTGGCCAGTCATTTCCGAGTGCACGCGGGAGCAAAGCCCTTCCAGTGTTCGGAGTGTAACAAGCGCTTCCGTCTGAGCAGACTGCTAAGAGTCCACCAGCGTGTGCACAGTAGGGAGGGACCATTCTCCTGCAAGAAGTGCGGCAAGGGCTTCACCAAGCGGTGCAAGCTCACTGAGCACGCGAGAGTCCACAGCTGCGAGAAGCCTTTCTGGTGTGCAGAGTGCAGCAGGGCCTTCTGCCATAGGGGCCAGCTGCTGAGGCACCAGCGGCTGCACACAGATGAGAAGCCCTTCCAGTGCCCAGAGTGCGAGCTGAGCTTCCGCCTGAAGAGCACGCTGAGAGCCCACCAGCTGCGGCACGGCGGGGAGCGGCCCTTCGCCTGCAGTGAGTGTGGCCGAGGCTTCACGCACCAGTGCAAGCTCCGTGAGCACCTGAGAGTGCACAGCGGGGAGAGGCCCTTCCAGTGTCCCGAGTGCAGCAAGAGCTTCCGCCTAAAGGGCATCCTGAAGGCGCACCAGCGCACCCACAGCAAGGAGAGGCCCTTCTCGTGCGCCGAGTGCGGCAAGGGCTTCACCCGGCAGTCCAAGCTCACCGAGCACTTCCGTGTGCACAGCGGCGAGCGGCCCTTCCAGTGCCCAGAGTGCGACAGGAGCTTCCGCCTGAAGGGGCAGCTGCTTAGCCACCAGCGCCTGCACACGGGAGAGAGACCCTTCCAGTGCCCTGAGTGCGACAAGTGCTATCGCGTGAAGGCTGACCTGAAGGCGCACCGGCTGCTGCACAGTGGGGAGATGCCATTCTCTTGTGAGTGTGGCAAGGGCTTCGCCAAGCAGTCGAAGCTCGTGGAACACATCAGGACGCACACCGGGGAGAAGCCTTTCCAGTGTCCCAAATGTGACAAGAGTTTCCGCTTGAAGGCACAGCTGCTCAGCCACCAAGGCCTGCACACCGGGGAGAGACCCTTCCACTGCCCTGAGTGTGATAAGAACTTCCGGGAAAGGGGACACATGCTCCGGCATCAGCGCATCCACAGGCCCGAGAGGCCCTTTGCCTGTGGCGACTGTGGGAAGGGCTTCATTTATAGGTCCAAGCTGGCGGAGCACATCAGGGTGCACACAAAATCCTGCCGCGCTCCGAGTGAGCCCGACATTAAGAAAAGGCTTAGCCAACTGTTTGCCATGATAGAGGCTGACTGGAGTTGAGGCAGTGGGGGCCGGGAGAGAGCAGTAAGCAGAGCTGATGTTGCCCCATCCTCAGCAACGCAGTGAGCACACCAGTAGACAGATTTTAGGAACAGGGGTCCTAGTTTGAGCAAGAATGTAATAAAAATTAGGAATATAGGAGACCATAAAAGATTTTCTCTTCCAAAACATCAATACGCTGGCGATGTATCAGTGGTAGCACTTGCCTAACACATGTGAGGCCCTGGGTCCAATCCTTGGGACCTCAAGCAAAGAAAAAAAGGAAACTCTCAATTATATTTTCTATCCATTGATAAAAAGAGGTATTTCTTCTTGCCTTCTTAGGTGGTAATTTTTGCCCAGATGCTAAGCTAGCTCCATAAAATCCCAGCTTGAATAAGATCTAAGGAAATCCCTCCAGTACATCCTCTGAAAGGATGGGGTATCTATTAAATGCCATTTCTACTTTTTATTTTTTTTTCAGAATATGATTCTGTGGGTTAAGTCCAGTGAATTGTGTTCCTGGCTTGATATGCCCTTGGATTTGATTTTGGCTTATTTATTTTTAAACTGATAGCCGTAAGATGAATTCTCTGAATCTCTCCTCTGTTTATGTGAATGCTGAAGGGCTCATAGTGATTATACATAGTTCCTCCTAAGGAAATGCTGATGGTTTCAGCAAAATGTGGCTAATCTGAAAAGAAACAAAAAACTACAGTGCTGAGAGGTTGAGTCAGGAGGTAGATCCTTGGGAGTTCCAGAAGAGAGATGCTACTTGAAGCTGAGTGAGTGAGTGAACCTCTCAAGAGTGAACATGTGAGCAGGTGATGAAAGGCTAATTTATGACAAAGTAATGGAGCTAAACAGGTGAACCAGGATGCATTACAGGCAACAAGAGTTTAGGGAATTTCCAAGCAAATGTTGGCAGTAATACAAATAAGTCCAGGAAACAGGTGAGGGCTACCCCGTTTGCCATGTTAGATGAAAGTTGTGTACATACTTAGGGTCAGAGTCATACTCTATACAAAGAATTCCTGATTTTCAGAGGGCTGACCTGAAATTCTGAGGGATGATAGAAAATTAGATTTATCCGTAGACTGTAGTCTAAAACAATGTTTCACAAATGATTTTTCTCTGGAACACTAGCTTTAAAGATATTTTTCGGAGAAGAATTGCATGGTCAATTATACAAAGATCCTAATTAAATTGACTGTTGCTACCTTCTAAATATGAATGAATACACAAAGATTATCAAACTTATTTATTTGTTTATTTATTTTTATGCTGGGGATTGAACCCAGCTCCTCTACCAATGAGACACATTCCCATTCCCAGTCCTTTTTTTTTTTTTTAGGCAGCGGGTGGGGTGGGAGGGGTAAAGTCTCACTAAGTTGCTGAGGCTGGCTTCAAATTTACAATCCTGCCTCAGTCTCCCATGTCACTATGATTATAGGCATGCACTACAATGCCCAGCAGATTATCCAACATTTGAAGAAATAAATTTTACCTGAAAAAGAAAGACCAAGATAAAAGGGTAAAAAATGTCCTAGACAAATCATTTACTTCAGGAACAAAAGCTAATTAATTTATATTTTTAATTTATTTTTTGGTGATACTGGGGATTGAACCCAGGGCCTAGCATATACTAGGCAAACACTCTAGCACTGAGCTACACCCCAACTCCTTTTTAGATTTTATTTTGAAATGGTTTTGCTAAGTTGCTGAGGCTGGCCTCCAACTTACAATCCTTCTGCCTGAGCCTCCTGTGCTAGGCATGTGCTACCATAGTTGGTCAAAAGTTAAAAAACACCTATTCAGAAAACCTGGAGAAGCTATCTTTGTCATAAAACAAAAAATATAGTTTTATGGAAAAGGAAACATCTAGAAATAAAAATAAGTACTAAGAAAGTTTTTAAAACTATGATTGTTGAAATCTTAAAAATCTTAGTAGAATTAGTTGGATCCCAGAAAGTAGGACAGAAGATCCAACAGGTAGAAAACAAGAGAGTAAGTTGAAGGTGAATTGTGCAAACACTAGTTTTACCCCTTTTTTTTTTTTTTTTTTTTACTGAGAGTTTGATCCTCTTTTCTGTTCAGTTTTTATGATTGCATCATAGATGTGCATATGTGATGAAAGGGGGAAGTGGGTGAAGTAAACAAAACAGTGAAAAAACCCAGGTGTGATTACCTTTATGCAAAAAAAAAAATTTGTGTGGGCTGGGGTTGTGGCTCAGTGGTAGAGTGCTTGCCTCACATGCATGAGGCACTTGGTTCAATCCTCAGCACCACATAAAAATAAATAAATAAAAGAGATACTGTGTCCATCTACAACTAAAAAAATATTTTTTAAATTTATTTTTTAGTTTTAAGTGGACATAACATCTTTATTTTACATGTATGTGGTGCTGAGGATTGAACTCAGTGCCTCAAGCATGCTAGGTGAGCATGCTACTCGTCCGCCACAACCCCAACCCCTAAAAAAATATTTTTAAAAATTTTATATAGGGGGCTGGGGATGTGGCTCAAGCGGTAGCGCGCTCGCCTGGCATGCGTGCAGCCCGGGTTCGATCCTCAGCACCACATACAAACAAAGATGTGTCCGCCAATAACTAAAAAATAAATATTAAAATTCTCTCTCTCTTTAAAAAAAAAAATTTATATAGGGGCTGAGGTTGTGACTCAGTGGTAGAGTGCTTGCCTCTCATGTATGAAGCAATGGGTTTGATTCTCAGCACAGCATGTAAATAAATGAATAAAATAAAGGTCCATCAAATATATATAGTAATAACAAAATTTTGAAATTTTAAAGCATAACAGAAAAATGAAATTTAAAATTCACTATCCCACAGGGGTCCTGAAGACTCCCTAATAAAATAATATATACAAAATATATAGAACAAATATAATTCTAAATCCTTTTAGAATTCTAAAATACAAGGAGGAATTTTTCTCATACTCTAATGTTACAGAGAGAGCAACAAAATCACAATAAATGTCTAACCCACAGTCTCAAACCTGGTTAGTGACCATGCTGATGCTCTCTGCAGATCTGATTTCAAAGAAGGGATTCCTTTCGCTGCATGTAATTTGGAAATCCAGGAAATGCACAGGGCTAAGAAATGGCAGGTGCTCAGACACCAAAGACCAACACAGTGACCTAAGCTAGTTTGTTGCAGAAGTGGAGGGTGGGGCAAGGGGGGTTTAAATATGAAAGAAAAGCACAAGGCAGGGAAACCAAGTGTTCAGTTTAAAAATCACATAGGCCCAGCATCATCTTGAAGAGACAAAACACGAATGAAAGGGATTCTTTGTTTAAATAGGGACGAAAAGCAATCCAGGAACTAATGGGAACTATTTATGATTTGGGGACAAAGGGATTATTTAGGGCTGAAATGGAAACTTCTTGTAGATGGGATGCAACTCATTGTCTCATTCTACCATGACAGTTTTTTAGGGAGGTTACTGTCACCCTAGATTAGGCAGATTGGAATTATTAAAACATAAAAATGCAAAAACTCTCAGGTGTAATTGACAAAAGGCAGTTTGTATATGTTTTAAAATGAAATGGGAACAAACCACTGCAATGGAAACTGTAGACATTCTTAACTGTGAGCTCACTCTATAAGAACAGCTCCAGGGGAAACCATTGCCTGGTGAGAATCTGCCAATAGAGTGTGCAGAAAGGGCAGACTCACAAAATAGGTAAGCAAGAGGTTGCTGAGGGCAAGGCAACAATTTCTGATTGAAAAGTGCATTTTTGGTGTATTGAAAGGATAGAAGGGTAGTTTCTCACCATGACAATTTGGATGTCTCTCAGATCTCAAATTCAACATTTCTAAAACCAAATTCTCATTTTTTCCTCCCTTGTCCTGTTTCTTCTATCATCAGTGAAAGGAAACTCTACCTTCTAGCTTCTCAGTTCAAAAATCTTGGTATTGTCTTTGACTTCACTTTTGAGAAATTTTGAAAATTTGCATAGTTTTTCTCAAAATTCTTACCCGTTCTATCAAATCCTGGTATTTTCACCTTCAAAATATATCTAGAGTTAATCTCTTCTCACCACTTTCTCCAAGACCACCTTGTTCCAAGTCAGCAACATACATATGAGGCTCAAGCAGCACTCATAGAAGTTGTAGGCTTGACCTCAAACAGTAAATCATATTTTAAGCAGCTGCTTGGGTCTGGAGTACCAAAGGATGGCCACAGTGGTCTCAGGAAATCTTACAAGGTGAGATTCATTACATTAGTCTTTGACATCCCTCCGTCCCATTTGAAATATCGAATGGAATGCTTCAACAAGATCCCTGCATTAAAGACTGATGGATGGCCGTTGCCCACACAAGTCTAGACAGTGAGTGGTTTGATAGCCCTTTGGAGGGCAGTGAAGGTTCCTGGTTCATACTTGAGAATCCTGACAATGAGATAGCAGGGAACCAAGGCAGCGGTATGGATGCCCCTGGTGTGACCCTTCAGAATAAATCTGGGATAAAGTAGTCAGAGGAAAACAAATACATGATGTCAAGACAGAGCAGCGTTTAAGAATTAGGTAATGGTCACGGGGATCTGGACCAAGAAAGCACCCAGCAGGCCAGTTGGTAATCACTGGCTCCACGAAAGCCTGATCCACTGCGATCTGCTGTGTCCAGTGGACTATGGAGGTCCTCAAGACACCATCTTTTGAAGGATACAGAACCTTACCATCACTCCCCACACCCCCAGGTCCTCAGGGGAAAGCTGGGGGAGCCCAAATCTTTCCGGAACCTTGAAAACCACCATCGTGAATAGGTGAGTGAGGAGGGTGGATGAAGGAGTGAATTGGCTGTGTGATGACAATTTCTTTTTGAAGGAAGGACGTGCAAAGTAGCAAAAATCGAGAGACAAAAAGAAGCTAACCATGACCCAATTTCCTTAGCTGCGTAACCCAAAGAGGAAGAGGTCAGAACTGTAGTGATTTCCACTGTTCTGCGCCGGGAAGACCCACCGAGATTCCGACGCGGGTCGGGGCAGCGTGAGCTCTTTTCGCATCCTGCCAGCAGGCGGCGCTGTGGGAGCCAAGCTCACGCTGCAGCTACGCGCGGGAGAGGCAGTGTTCCCAGGAAGCCCCGCGTGTCTCCACGGCAACGGCGCCAGGGGCGGGTCCTGGGGAGCAGGCCCCGCCCACAACGCGGCCTCCGCTTTCAGAACTTCTCGGCTGCGGTTTGAGTGACTCAGTTCCCAAACTCCACACCAGTCTTGGGCCCTCGATGGACCTCGCAGGAGGGCTCAGGCAATGCAGAGTCTTCAGGTGCTACCAGGTGCCGGGGCGGGGTCATTGACGTCAGCGGGGGAAGGACTGAGAATTGAGCAGAGAAATGCGACTTACAGTTTGATCTTATTCAATTAAGCCCTGGACTGATCAGCCGGGTAGGCCAGGACACTTCATGATCCCTTGTCACCTGTCCAATAGTGGATCTGTCTGTTGCAAGGGAATCTTGTGGTCTAATTGTATTAGCGATGTTACTGGAAGCTGCCGGTTTTATTTTTAATTTTTTAATGTGTATACATATATATATATATATATATATATATATATATATATATATATATTTTAGGTGTAGACGGACTCAGTACCTTTATTTTATTTATTTGTTTTTACGCGGTGTTGAGGACCAAGCCCAGGGTCTCTCGCGCGAGAGGCGAGCGCTGTTCCGCCGAGCCACAATTCTAGCCCAAGGCTGCCGTTTTTTTAAGGGAAAAAAAGTTCTTGTGGAAAACTAGATATTTTACAATGGCCAAGGTCACCGTCACTGGTTCACTTTGGGGTTCACGTTAGAGTTTTAGAGTTATTCTTTAATCTGGTTAACAATCAGTCATGAATAACTGGATACTTCTTTTAAGTTCCAGGGAAGCAAGACAACAGTAAGCCCAAATTTGGGTGGTTATCAAAGACAGGGCTGCTCTAGAAAGTTCATAGAAAAAGGATATGCGGTATTTTCAACGACTACCCAAAGAGCTGATGTGAAGGACCTGCACTGCCAAGAGCCTCAAACTCCTTTCTAAAGCACACAGCCTCAGGGCTCTGCCCATCTCCTGGCTCTTCAGTGTGGGGACCCTACTCCTGCTCTTGAAGCAAGTTCCTGGGTGAAGAGCCAACCAATGGAACCGCAGGAAAGCCACTCTGTGAGTATCCAGAGGGCTATCAGAAGCCCAGGGAGCCCTCAGATCTCCAGGGCCTTGAGCCCTGGAGGAGGGAAAGCTCTTCCCCTGTAGCTGCTTTAGGCAGGACTTTCCCTCTGGTTATCTTTGGAATCCTTGGCTCATGACTCCTGGTCATGTGTGACAGCAGCTTCCCCAGAAAAGAAGTCTAGCTAACCCCCAGTCTGCCTACAGACAGAAGCCCTCCAGAACCCTGAATGTGACAAAAGCTGTCTGAGGAGTGCCAATGTGGACACTGGGGAGAGAGCCATTCCCCCACTGAGGGAGTCAAAACTTAGGGCCCACATGCATCTGCACAGTGGGGTGGAGCTGTTCAATGCTCTGAGTGCAAGAGGAACTCCATACTTATTCAGTCACCAGCATGGGCACAGAGGGAAAAGACCTTTCCCATGTCCAGAATGTGGCCACTTTGCTTCCAGGCTTCCTCCACACCTACACAGTGAAGAGAGAGTGTTCTCCTGCAGTGACTGTGAGGAAAAACCCCTGAGATCTCAGCTGTCACCCACTTCCCTCTGTGCACAGGTTCCCAGAACATGATAAGAGTTTCCTGCAAGCTGACATCAAAGTCCATGTATCCATATCTCCAAGAGGTCTTTTTCTTACCCACTGTCTGAGCTCCCTGAGCCCCTCAGAGTGCACAGTGAAGTGAGGCCTTCCAGTGCCTAAGAGTAAAGAAGGAAGCTTCCCCAGCCCGAAGGAGGACCCACTTGTCCATCAGGGTCAACACAGAGGGCAGAGACCCTTATAGTGTCCCAGTGTGGCCAGGCACACCACCCAAGCTACCATGTTGTTTTCTCCCACTGTTCTCTGTTCTTTACAGAGAGTCCTTCTGGTCACTGTTGTGGTTTTACTCTTTTTTGGTGGGTGGGGCGGGGTGGTGTACCAGGGATTAAACTTGGGGGCAGTTGGCCACTGAGCCACATTCCCAGCCGTATTTATTTAGAGACAGGGTCTCACTGAATTGCTTAGCACCTCACTTTTGCTGATGCTGGTTTTGAACTTGTGATCCTCCTGCCTCAGCCTCCCAAGCCTTTGGGATTACAGGTGTGTTTCACTGGTTTTACTCTTACTAGGCTTCTTGTAACTAGTTTTGACTGATCCATACCTTGGCATCTGAAGTGTATACTGGATTTTGGCAATAATGTTATGCATGGTTGTTGTCAGTAATAATCTGGAGATCAAATTAAACCTTCCCTGAAACTCAGGGAGCAGACTCTTGTGTACTGTAAGGAAAAGCCCATGATTTACTTAATACTAAAATGATGGTCCCTAAAATCTCTTTGTTCCCTAAAGTTTCATATTCCTCCTCCTAATTCAGCACATTTTCCATGAGTTATTTTGCTAACAACATTCCACTGGCAATTCATACAGTGCTGACTGCAAGTTCAGCTCCTGGCTACATATTTCTCCAGAGCTCCCAACCCACATTTCCACCTGCCTACTATATATTTACCTGGATGCCTCACAGGCCCAAACTGAAATCCTTCCTGCCTCACTCCTCCTGGTCTGTGCCTGCCAATAACGTATGTCTGCATTCTCTGTCTCACTGAATGGACAGCACTCTCTGCTTCCTGATTCTTCATGGTCCTGCCCCACACATCTTTGTCCATCACCAATTTTCACATTTATTTCAACTCTTTACTGTCATTTCAGTCTGTCTAGTTTTCTTCATCCCCTTTCACCACCATCTGTCATCAGGATTAACATGAGACCACACTTTAGCTAGTCCTCCTAACTCCAGCTGCTTCTAACTCAGCACAGCCCCAAATTGATCTGTATAAAATGCAGACATGATCTAGTCACTTCCTGGCTGCCTTCAGGGTACAGCTCTTCATTACCTGGCCCTATCTTCTCCAGCTGTGTTCCTTACTTCACCTCTTCTCACGCTATCTCAGCTGTCCTAAATAACCTGCCTTCTTCCAAATTCTCCATGTTCCAGTTTGTCACAGATTCCTAGGTGAGAAGCAGGAATTGGGAGTATTAGTGTTTTTGTTCTTAGGGAGCAGGTACCAGGGATTGAACCTGGGGGAACTCAGCCACTGTGCCACATCTCCAGCCTTATTTTGTATTTTATTTAGAGACAGAGTTTCATTGAGTTGCTGAGCGCCTCACTTTTGCTGAGGCTGGCTTTGAACTCACAATCCTCCTGCCTCAGCCTCCTGATCTGCTGGGATTACAGGAGTTTGCCACCACACTTGGCAGGATTGGGAGTTTTATAGCACAAAATGCTTATATCATAGAAGAAGGGCCACATGTCAGTGAAGAAACTAAGAGAGACAGGGAATATGAAGCCTAAAGTAAGCAGAAAAATTGGTTAGAGCTAAAAATCAATGAAATGAACAGCAGAAAAACTAAGTGAAATCAATGAAAATAACAGCTGGTTGTTTGAGAAGATCAATATAATTTACAAAGCCACAGCCATACTAAACATTAAAAAAGAGAGAAGAAATTATATCAGCAATAAGAGAGGTAACCTAACTACAGATTCTAGTTATTTAAAGTATGAGAAAAGACTATTGTCTTATTGTTCTTGTTGTCATGACAAAATACCTTAGACTGGGTAATTTACAAAGAACATTTTTTTTTAACTTAAAGGAGGCAGAAATTTATTTATTACAATTCTGGAGGCTGGGAAGTCGAAGACCAAGATGCTTGGTGAGTATAAATAAAAAGAACAAAAAATATATATTCTGTTTTTTAGTTGTAGCTGGACACAATATTTTTATTTTATTTATTTATTTTTATGAAGTGCTAAGGATCGAACCCAGGGCCTCACGCGTGCTAGAAGAGCACTCTTCCGCCGAGCCACAATCCCAGCCCCCCAAAACATATATTCTTAACAAAGTGCCAAAAAAAAAAAATGCCTGGTGAGCACCTTCTTGAGGCATCCTCACCTGGTAGAAACAGAAATGCAAAAAGATATGAACACTGTGTCCTTGCATGGCAGAAGAATGAACCCACTCTCTCAGTCCCTGACTATAAGGTTCCTGCTCTCTCCTGATCCATGAGGGTTCTGCTCTCATGACTTAATTGCCTCTCAATATTATCACATTGGTGATTAAGTTCCAACATAAAAATATTGGGGGACATATTCAGACCATATCAAATATTCCTTTATGCCAATAAATTTGACAACTTACATGAAATGGGCAAATTTCCACTAACTTCCAAAGTTCACTCAAGAAGAAAAAGATACTCTGAATAGCTCTGAATCTATTAAAGAAATCAAACTTATAATTAAGATCTTTCCTACAAAGAAAATTTCACTAGAGAATTGTGCCAAACATTTAAGGAAGAAAAATGTGCAAATTCTACACAAACTCTTCCAGGAAATTGAAAATGAGAAAACACTTCCTAATTATGAGGCCAGCATTAATGTCTTTTGTGAATGTGAACATAGATGCAAAAACTCTCAATAAAATTTTTGTAAGTCAAGTCCAACAATATATAAAAATAATAATACATCATAACCAAGTGAGGTCTCAGTAATACAAAGGTCAAGCTTTTCAAAATCAATTAACATAATCCATATTAATGAACTAAAAAGGAAAAACATGATCCATTTCTGTTTTAAAGAAAACTCTCAGTCCAGGCTCGGTGGCACATGCCTGGGGCTGGGGAAGTTGGAGCAGGAGGAGTTCAGAAAGCAAGGCTCTAAGCAACTCAATGAGACCCTGTCTCTAAAATACAAAAATAGGGCTGGGGATGTGGCTCAGTGGTCAAGTGCCCTTGAGAGTTCAATCCCTAAGACCCCCACCAAAAAAAAAAAAAAGAAAGAAAGAAAGAAAAAAGAAACTCTTAGGAAACCAGGACTAGAAATTAATCTGATAAAAAGCATCTACTAAAAATGTACAGTCAGTATCATGTATAGTGGGAAAGGCTGAACAAGGCAAAATATAGCCACTCTCATCAATACTCTTCAACAACATTGTACTACAGGTTTGGGACAGGAAATAAAGAAAGAAAATTAAAGGAATTCACAATGAAGAAGAAATAAACTATGTTTACAGATGACAAGATTGATAGAGAACTAGAATCTACCAGTCAAATCTTCAGCAAAGCTACTGAAACCAACTGAGTTTAGCAATGCTTCATACGAGGTCAGTGTACAAAAATCAATGGCATTTCTGGTTTTTTTTTTTTTATTTTTTTTTTTAGTTGTAGATAGACACAGTATCTTTATTTTATTTTTATGTGGTGCTGAGGATCGAACTCGGGGCAAGCACTCTATCACTGCGCCACAACCCCAGCCCCAGCACTTCTGTTAATTTGCAATGAGTAATTAAAATTTGACATTTAAAAAATTTTCCTTAAAATAGCACAAAATATTGCAAGTTGTATGTAGAACCATGCTTTGAAAACTTCTTGGCACATAGTTGGTGCTTAATAAACATTGAACAAATAAATAAAGTGTGAGTCAAGTCCAACAATATATAAAAATAATAATTTAGTAAGTGACTTACTAAATTCAAATCCATGCAACCTGACTCTAGAGCAGCTACTCTACCCATTCACAACAAATACAATAAATATTTTTTGTTTCTAATATGAGGTTATGTTTTTTATTTGTTTTACTGATTAATTTCTTTAAATCCCAATAGCATTAGTAATGATACCAAGTGTCTGGAATATTCTAGCATTTGGTGACAGTGCAACTTTGAGTTCCAAAAGAATAATTTTATTTATTTTAAAATTTTTTTAAAAAAATATTTTTTAGTTGTTGATGAACTTTTATTTTATTTATTTGTATGTGGTGGTAAGAATCGAACCTAGTGCCTTACTCTTGCCAGGCAACTACTATTCCACTGAGCTACAATCCCAGCCTGAATACTTTTATTTTCAATGTTAAAATATGGGTTGGGGATATAGCTCCATTGGTAAAGTGCTTCCCTTGCATGCATAAGGCCCTGAGTTCAATCCCCAGCACCCCCCCCCACACACAAAAATCTCCTTTAGGTACTAAGGATGTGGTTCAGTGTTAGGGCATTTGCCTAGCGTGAGTGAGGTTCTGGGTTTGATCAACCAGCACCATTATAAAAAATAAAAATCTTAAGAAATACTTGTGGGAAGCTGTTCTCCCATGTGATTGGGCACCTCCCTGACTGGGTGTGAGGCCTTCCAGCCAAGCTGTGTCAGAACTAATCCCCACCCTTTTTGGGTGCTACAGCCCATCCTGTGGAGGTGTGACTGACCATTGACCCTGAGACCAATCACTGACCCTGACCTTGGAATGCTGTCTCCCTCGACCTTCATTGGATGGAATTTTCCCCTGATTTTCTTGTTCCCCAATAAAAGGCCACTCCCTGGCATGCCCTTCCTCTCTCCTGCTACTCCACCAGGTGGCTCCAGGCAGGAGCCAGAGGGGGCTGACTCTGACCTGGTCAAGAAAAAGGTAAATTGAGTTTATGTGTGTTTATTTTGATCTCACTAGTTAACTTCTATGCTTAGGACCTCTAGTGTGAAGCTAGCGTGCTGGTCGCGCGGCAGAATTACTTTACCTCAAAATAAGAGAAATAGTGACTAAGACCATTGGTATAACAACAACAGCAAAAGACTGGGCTGGTTACCCATTTCCTCAAACTTTTGGAAATAAGTTCTCTTCACAGGCCACCCCCTGCAAAAGTGTCAAGTTGTGGACTGGGGCTGGGGCTCAGTGGCAGCGCACTTGCCTGGTATGTGTGAGGCTGGGTTCAATTCTGGGTTCAATTCTCAGCACCACATATGAACAAATAAAGATCTATCAACAACTAAAATAAATAAATAAATTTTAAAAAAAGTCAGGTTGTCCACCCCTGTATGTGTGAATATTGCCCTTGTGGAAGGGTTATTGGAAGATGCAGTAGCTAAAATACCAGTATATTCTAAAACATGGTAATAGAATCTGAATATAGTGTTTATGCACCTTAACTCTAGAATGGAGTTAATCGTTATACATCCTCAGGTAGATGCTTGGGAAGCTGGAGCGTGGGTATGGGACCTCATTTCAGTCTGCAATCATGAATCAAGATGAATCCTTCTGGGGAGAGTGATGTTCTCTCTCAGAAGACAATGTAACAGCATGGTAAAATAATCATGATGTGATATTAAGTTTAAGATGTAGGATATAAAATTACACAGAGATTGTGTGCTTCAGTTACATGGTTTTTGTTTTTTGAGGCTGGGTTTCCTCTGTTGCCCAGGCTGGCCTTTAACTCCTGAGCTCAAGCACAGTCCTTCTGCCTCAGCCTTCCCAGTAGAGGGGACGAGAGGCATGCACTACCATGCCAGCTAAAAGCAGAGATTTCACTTTTCCCTTTTCTATTGAAAAGGAACTGTATCATAATCAAAGGAAGGTAGGACCAACCATTCCTAAGATCTCCAGAACGTAGAAGAAATTGTTTCAGCCCAGGTGGTTTAATTCTTGCATAGGATGGATTAGAAACCCCATGGCTGCAGGTTGTACATCTGTCTGGTCCCAGTTTGGTTTTCCAACATATAAACTCAGCTTGTTATGGCAGACATTGGTGTCATAGATCTACCTAGAGATAATCTGGAAGGGGAAGATTAATTCCCCATAGGCCATTCCCCAAGGGCTATGCAGGAGTAGAGGAAAACACATGTTCAAATTGACCTCTAAACCAAGCCTAACAGTGTTAAGTGGCAGCTCAGGGGACAAGCCAGGGGCTAGTTCATTTATATGAATGAAGTTTCCAAACTAAATTCCAGTTGTATTAACAGTCAACCTTTATATATAATTACGATAGTTATGGAGATTTTTTTGAAATTATTTTTTATTTATTTTTTTTAGTTATAGATGAACACAATACCTTTGCTTTATTTATTTTTATGTGGTGCTGAGGATAGAACCAAGTGCCTCATGCATGCGAGGCAAGTGCTCTACCACTGAGCTACAACCCTAACCCCTAGTTATGGAGAAATCCTCTCTCTCTCTGCTGTGGTCCACCTCACAGTGGTCTCCAAGCCTGCTGTACCCATAACCAAATTGGATGAGATTTAAAGATGAAGAACAAGGAGATCTGCAACTTGATAAAGTCATATTTTGTTTTTCAATGAACTTCCACTGTTCTAATCTAAATGATTTAATATTTTTCTTTTCTGCTACTGGGGATTGAACCCAAGGGTACTTTACCACCGAGCTATATCCCAGCCCTTTTTATTCTGAGGCTCACTAAGTTGCTGAGGCTGGTCTCGAATTTGCAATCTTCCTGACTCAGGGCTCCCAAGTAACTGAGATTACAAGTGTGTGCCACCTAAATGCTTTTAAAAAGAACATTATCACTTTAATTTCACAAGGGGTGTGTGTGTGTGTGTGCAACAAAGGGCCTTATTAACAAAGGGCCTTACTGCAATTGGTTGCCCCACATCTGGGCAAATGAGGCCTTCATTCTTCTGTTTAGTGAAAATTCATAAAAAACTATGGAGAAAGACAAAAATTATGATTGGACTCAATCTTTTTTCTTTAGAGTTCTTTAAAATAATATTAAATTGTTAGTCTACATTTATCACACTGTAACAAATCACTTCATGCATACTCTGGTGTTACAGTTAGGTGCAGCATGTCTTTGTCCTCTACTAAATTAATGAGGAACAATTGGATTCATAATAAAAACTAACTAAAATTTCCTAATTTCTAACATCTATGAATGACCTCCTTCCTTTCTTTCTCACTTAATAATCTATATACACAAGAAACCACTACTGGACTCTTGGACTTTATTGTTTTTTGTTTGTTTGTTTTTCCCTATTTGTCTTCCATAATTCAGGCATACTAATGCCCAGGAGTTAAAATATATATATGAATGAAACTCTAATACACACCACACATTTCTTTTCTGACATACAAACCTAGTTTTCTTCTCCAAAACAGTCAAGAGAGAAAACCTCAGGGCTGCATCTAGATTTCTGTAAACCACTAGATTGCCTATCTGGTATTACTCATGTTTTGAAGTAAATCAGGGAAGGAATAAATAACGAGGCAAAGTTTAGACAAGAATCTGAAGGCTTGCTCATAAATGAAATCCTGGATTCACTTTACTATATGGTCATTCCAGGAGGATCCCCTAACCCTATGCCCAGGAAAGACATGCACTTTTCTTCTTCTTTTTTGTACAGGGGATTAAACCCAGGGGTGCTTAACCACTGAGCCACATCCCCAGCTCCCCTCCTATTAAAAAACTTTTGAGACAGGGCCTCTCTAAATTGCCCAGAGCCTCGCTAAAATGCTGAGGCTAGCTTTGAACTTGTGATCCTTCTGCCTCAGCCTCCCCAGCCACTGGGATTACAGGTGTGACATCACACCCAGTTGCAAACTTTACTTGTGGGAAAACAAGTCTTAAGAGAAACCAAGAAGCCCATGACCAGGTTGCAGACTCGGGAGCCCGTCTCTCTCCTTCTTCCAACAACAGACTGGCTCATGCTCGTCCCCTTTGGTTCCCGCTTCTCTAGGACTCGGCGGGCAGGGTACCACTGCACCCCTAAGGCCACGTGTTCTTCCTGCCACGCCAGGCGGGAAGCCCAGCCCGCACAGCCCACCGCTCCCAGGCCCCGCCCCCCACGCCCACTGCGCTGCTAGCCAATCGCACCCTGATACGCTGCAAGGCCCCGCCCCCTTGGGCTCCGCCGGCCGCTTTTGTTCTACCCTGCTGGGTCTCTCGGCCTGTGCGCTCCGCGCAAACCGAGTGGCAGCCGTTGATTGGTGGCCGCCGCGCAGCTAATCAGAAGGGGGCACCTCACGTTAGGGCTCGGAGTTTTAAACGCGCTTCCAGGGGCGCGCCGGCGCGGCCTGAGCCTGGGCGGGGGAGAAGGTGGAACGCAGCGAGGCGCCCTGCCTGCGCGTCCGGCCGCGCGCGGGGATTGGCCTACCGACGGCTTCCCCGCCCCCGGTCATTTGCCTGGGAGGACTTCCTGGAGTGTTTGCTGCGCTCCTCTGTCGTTGGGCTAGTCTGGGAGTGCTCCGCGGCTGCCGGCGCCTGGAGGCCGCGCTCCGCTGCTGCCGCCATGAGGCTCCGAAAAGCCTGCCTGCTCGTCTTGCTCTTGGCGCTGGCGCAGCTGCTGGCCGCGGCCAGCGCCGAGGGAACGGACGAAGGTGAGCGGCGGCCTGGCTGGGGAGGGCGTCGTGCGTCCGCGAGGCTGGAAGCCGTGGGAGCCCGGGTTGTAAGACCTGGTGGCCCGCCGGGCTTCGCGCAGGTTCCTGCAGATGTAGGGACGGCCGTCGCTCGCGGTGCGGACTTGCTGGGCTTTCAGGGGAAGGAAAGGGGTGCTGGACGGCTTTGGGGATCTCTCAGTGGAGACGACCAAGAGGCCGAGGCTCAGGGCCCACGAGCTCCGACTCGCTGGGAGTCCCTGCCACCCGAGTCTGGGACGCAGAACGGGGTACAGACAGGCTTCTTTGCAAGGCTCCTTCGTTTTCATTCTCAGATTTTCTTAGGTCCAAGCTGACTGTCTTCTGCCCTGAAAGGAGGATCGTGGAACTTATTAAAACTTCCAGACGCACACGCCCAGAGATTGTGAGGGAAGAAGGGGGTCCACAGTGTCCAAACTGTGGTT